TAACTTTTCTACAGTGTTAATCTACAGAAAAACACCAGCTAAGAGTGAAATGTTAAGGTGTTTTACATTCACGATCAATGCTAACGAATAACACTGCAAGTACTCAATCTGATCCTTCAAATCGAGAGTTTTCATGTGATGCTTGGCCATGGGAATTTCATTACTTGTGCAAAGTATCACTGGATAATATTAACAATACATTCTAAACCATCTGTACAAATGCATGTTATCTTCTTTTCTTTTGTCAATATATATAATCTAGAAGCGCAAGCCACGAGCACAATACCTGAGAAGAAAAACTGTCGGATCTTCCTGGCAACCCCCCAAGTTTCTTACGATGTCTCACCGAAGCCCCGCTGTTCTCTTCTTTCCCTTCTTCTTTGGTTTCTATGGCAGGTGGTTTGGCCGGAAGGATATCCGAGCCAGCAAGCAGGGCTTCGTTCGTTGCTCTTAAGCTGTTGATTAAGCTGTTCTGTTGTTTTTGCTAGAATGAAGTTTTTAGAAAATTTGTAAAAACAGAATTCACATATAGATGGCTGCAACTCATCTATAAACAGTGGCTTTCTGTTTTTTTTTTATAGAAGCAAATTAAGTCTCTTTTTTTACAAAAACGTTACTTAACCCCACCAAAATCCTATACAAATTATATAATGTTGTAATTGTACTATTGTACATGCAATAAGATATCATACTTTAAATAAAAAAATTATAATACCTAAGAAATACAGTACTGAGCCACTGCTGTCTAAGCAACCTCTATATATGGTCCAAATTGGACGAAGTTTGACAATTAAGGTTTTTTTTCACATTAAAACAAAATTAGGGGGTGATAGCTTTAGAATTTTTAACCTGAAATTTTACCTTCAAATAAGGAGACCCATCATTTTACGTGTGTGCCATTGGTGATAGACACAAAAATAATGACAATGATAATAATACACAGATTGAAAAAATGCAATTTTAACTCCAATTCAGCATAACATATTGACTGTAATTTTCACAGCAGATCACAACTTTCAAGTCAAACACCACCACCATTCAAAACTGACTAGTTTCAAGTCAGATATTACCATTCAAAACAACTGATGCTAATTCTCACAGCAATGCACTCATTTTAGGTCAAATGTCAGCATTAATTACTGACGGTAATTCTCACAAGATGTTAGCCTTTAAAGCCAGGAAAGATCAAATATATCCTGAAAATGTTAATACCATTTAAAAAAAACTTTCCTCATTACAGTTAG